GAAAGGAACCCATTAATCTACGTTCTTCAAAGAAATGCGGCAATCGTGATTTATACATAACCCATTATGTAAAGGAAGAAGATATACACATAAAAGAAGAAACCCAAGTATTAGTGCCATTCAATCTTTTAATTGTGTTAGGTGAAGATGTTTATTTCCAAAAGGCTTGAAGAAAATGGAAGCACGATTAGCACTATATCACAGAGAAAGTACTCAAAAAACCCAAATACAAAATAACCATAACTAATAAGAAAATGAAAATGTTGGTAATTCATGCATTTCTTCTTTGCATAAAAAGTCATAAACAAACCCACTTCATAACTGCATATCATAGACATTATTTATTAAAAAAAAGAAAGGTAGCAAAAAGAACATGGTAGCTACAGCATTCATAATTGGAGCTAAGTAAAACTAAACAAACCCAATAATTAAATTTAAAAAAAAAAAAAACCTAATATTCCCATAGTTATGTACAGGGAAGAAGAATTGGAAAACTGTGAAATTTACCTGGAGAGAGGAAGGCTTGAAGGGAGGGATGAGGGGCAAGGTTTCTACAGAGAACTGTTTATCAAAAAAAACAGTCAAAATATTTGTACCCTCCAGATCACAATTTACCACAAAACAATATTCATCACTGAAAACCCTAGATCGATTTTCACCATGTTCGGAACCTAGAGAAATAATCAGAGAGAGCAAAAAAAACCATGGGATAGAGAAAAACCAGAGAGAAAAAAATTCAGGGGAGAGGGAAAACCAGAGAGAGAATGTACCTTTGTGAGGAGGCTTGTAGGCGCAAAGAGAAAGCGCAAATGGTCTCTTCTCTGTGGTTAGGGCAGTCGGGGGCAAGCAAATACCTCGAGAAAGATGAACAACACAGATCAGAGCTCAAGGAAGAGATCCAGGGGAAAGAGAGAGATGAAGACATAGAATACCTCAAAAAGATGAAGAGAACAGATTCAGAGCACTTTGCTTGCTCCTCCGTCTTCTTGGACCTTCGAGTGAGAGAGACAAGAGAAGTTTTACTTTATAGAAAAATAACTTTGTGCTTTACAGAAAAAAATTCTATATCCGGAAAAAAGTTGCATACAGCGAAAATTACATAAACAACTCACAATGTAGTAAGAAAATGGAGTAAAACTACCCATCAAAATTAGCAAATTAATATCAATAAAACTGAAAGCCAAGTTTGCTTAGACTGCAGAAACAGAGATTTAAAGAGTTTCTAAACTAGAAAACGAAAAATCCAGAAATAACCAACACAAGATTTTTCAAGGATTCCAGAAATAATCCAAATATACTCATACCCATAAATCAGTGATAAATCAAATCAGTCATCACACGATGATATGAAACCCACAGAAACCATGATGTGAAACCCACAGAAACCCTAATATGAGATGGCATCCATTTCTATTTTTATCAGAAATGAATCACCCTCACAAGAGCTAAGAAAACCTACCATGGATTAAAGCTCAATAGCAATAATCAGCGCTCAATAACAAGGATCAGAGCTCAAGAAAAAGATCCATCGTCTTTCGTAAACCCTAGCGAGCGGCTGAGTGTGAAGAGAGGGCTCTGGTTGAGCGGCTGAGTGCGAAGGGAGGGCTCTGGTCTAGGGCACTTTTTTTCAACATGAACAGTATTAGGTAAGTTCCAAGTTCCTGGAAAACACTTCCTGGTGGAAAGATCTTCCTGTCTTCAAACATGGAAAACACTTCCGGATGGAAAGCACTTCCTGTCATCAAACACGCCCTAAAAGGTTGATAGCAGAAGACCTGGCTTATTTCTCTCTCTTATTCATTTCTCTCTCTCAAAGTTTGCAGCCCCCACAATAATCTTTAAATAACAGATTCTTTGGAGCTATACGTCTGGATGACTATGCTTTTCTAAAGTTCAAACCCTAAAAATAAAAGAAAAATAACTAAACCCTCACCTCATACTTCATCGAAAATTACAATTCAAGCCCCGAAAAATATTTATATTGATTGTGAAAAAAATAAAATTTCAAGCTCTTTATTTTATAACAAATTATTTAGATGGTCCATCTTGTTCCAAAAATAAGTATTCATGTATCCGCAAAATCTGTACAACTTTTTTTAGTTTCAACTTTTACTATCTTTAAAATTGATTTTAAAGCCGTTACGAAGATTTCTTATATAAGTACTTTTCGAATGACGATTTGAGGTGAAATTTTATTTTATTTTCGTAAATTATAAGCCTCATAAAACCTTAAATCAAATCAAAATATCTGCTCAAGCCCTATGGAATCCTACGAACGTGTCATTTTGTTAGCTTTTTGGGAGAAGGATGAGGATAACTCGATCAACGGTGGCTTGGTGATGAGGCAAAGCCTAAGCCGTGAATGCCCTCAGATGTCACCAATCCAATCTTACGTTTATTCAATGAACCGATGTCCCAACTTGGATCATTCAATGAACCGATGTCGTAATTTGGATCAGTTGAATTGAATTGGTGATCTGAATCATTTATAATATATATTTAGAAATACTAAACTCAAATTACTGCCTATCAAATTTGATCTAGATCGGGAACACTGATCTAAATTTGTCGTATTTTAAAACCTTGATAGAATATCAGGGAGCTCAATAACTCCATTTACTCCGCAACTTTTATTATACATGCATCTTTTCAAAAAGTGTGCGGTTTGTATAGAGCCTAGGCTCTAAACCATCTAATTAGAGCCTACCTTCAAAGAAATGTAGTTTCATTATCGGAAATCTTTGTGATTGCCTTAAAATATATTTTTATATTTATTTATAAATTTTAAAGCTTCAAAATTAATGTAGATCGACAGATATATGAAAACTTTAAATCTTGACAATTGACGGTCCAAAAATGCGTTACAAAATATACTATTTTCAAAACTTGAAATCTATTTTTTTACATGCATATTGATATCAAGATGATCGATTTGAAGATATTTGGGCATTAAAACAATCTCTTTTAGTGAAAGTTTTGAGTAGGCTCAAATTTGGTTGTTTAGAGCCTCGGCTCTATATAAACTTTTTCCTTTCCAAAAAGGGATTGTATATAATCAGCCATTTATTTTTTATATAAGGTAGTTACAATTAGTTACAACTATCTGATGTGAAGTTTGATAGCTTGGGTGTATCACAAAGTTCAAAATAATTTCTTTTAAAGTTTGAGCTTGGTCAATATAATAAATATAACCACTCAATTTCATATCACATGGTCAAGATTAGTTGTGATCCCCTTGTACTAAAAGTATGTGTTTTTATCCTATACTTTTCCATCAAAAAAACACTTTTCTAAAAAATTTCAAATTTCCCATTCAAAATTTGAAAAATAAGTGATCAGAGTCAAATGACAAATAATACATTTAGTTGTTAAGACGTAAGAGGTAGCAACATATAATTTAAATTTCTATTCAATTTTCTATTCAATTTTCCCAACCTTGATTTTTCCCAACCTTGAACAATAGAGGTCTCATTGCCATTTGGCTAGAGCCACTTATGTGTGGCCAAATTACTGCGCATCTTGATTATTCAAGGTTTTCAACCGTGAAGATTTGAGAATTTTCAAAAAATTATTGAGGAGGTATTTAAGTGAAATAGAACTTAAGAAGTAAAGTGATAAATAAGATCATTTAATCACCTTAATGATTTAAGAAGGCGATTTGAACATTTAAGTGATATTTTACCAAAATCACAAGATATATTTCTTTTAAACTTTTTGGAAAATTAATACTGTATAGGATTTAGGTGCAGAGAACGCACATGCTATAGTGAGCCCACCCCCCAAAAATCCATTTCATCCATTTTGGTAATGGATTTTGGATACAAAATTTTGCAAGTATATCATCTAACAAAGGGCATTCGAAAATATGTCACAAAATTGAAATTTGAACTCTAAAAATGTCCTATTTTATGCACTGTTTTGGACTATCATTATAATTGTTAAAGATCGTATTATTTTTAGAATTTCAAATTAATAGATCTGACGTAAAATGATTTTACAGTGATTTGGGATATCTTTTGGGTCTAAATCATTCAAAAACCAGAACAGACGACAAGGCACCCAACCTGTTTTTAGTGGTTTTTCAAGCTGTTTGTAAGAGTAAAAGCCAAAACATGCAAACTGAGATGTGGGTGTGCTACCACCATAACCTTAACCCCTTTTCCATGAGTGACTCAACTTTTCGAGATACTTCTTAAGTGTATATATGTATACATCCACCCTACCTTTGAGTATTTTTAGGACCACAAATTTAGGGAATGCATCCACCTTACCTAAAGACAAAATTAAGATAAATAAAAAAAGTATATAGTCATTTTATGCATGTTAAAAAGATAAACATGCTAAGATTTAAATGCTGATCGTCTTTGAACGGTGAGATCCAAGTGTTTAAAAACTCAAAAATCCTTTTTTGTTTTTTAAGAAACAGATCCCAATATCCTTAACAAATGATTCATCGAAGGCAGTACGACATGAATGCATCTTTTTAATCTTGTGGCTCGAAATGTCATCGGCAAAGATTGTTTTGGTGCTAGAAAACCCTAAATTGATGATATCCACCTCAACGTATAAAAATTTAAAAAATAGGATTTTTATCCCTAAAAAAAAGGATCATGAAATACATTATATGAACCATCTATTTTCAAGTGGTGACAGATATTGCCAGATTAACACATTTTTTTAGATTCAATCTTTATAGTGAAGAGCAAAATAAAAGCCAAAAGATTTCATGGTCTCCCGGAAGGAAACTATCCATTTACTCCCTCAGATAAAACCTAATATAAGAGTATTTTTAGAACCTCAAATTTTGCGATGTAACATTTTTAATGGCTAACTTCAATAAATAAATAAAAACATCCAAATAGCAGCTTAAAAGAGATCATGTCTCAAAATTAAATAGAAACTGTCCTATTTTTTATGGGTAAGATCCATAGGAAGCTCAAAATCCAAAAGTTTTCCCTTTGAATATAATCATGTATTGATTCTTAAGTGTTTCCCAAAAGTTAAGAGAGAATTGTCAAGTCTTGTACCTGGTAGTAAATGTATAGTACACTCCCACAGGAGCATAGCACATTCAAAACAAAAACATATAGCAACCACTTTCATAGCAAGTTCTACTTTGTCAGTGCCTCACTTCACATGTTACAGTATACAAGCTCAAAACAAAAAACAGCAAGTTCTTTCTTTCTTCGTCCTCCATTCTCCCAGTGTCTCTAGCATGAATACAGCTTCAAACACCTGGAATTTATCCTTTCATGTCGCCCATGTAAAAATGGTGCAAATCAAATATACTAACAAAAACTTGAGAATAGATGGTTCAGATGACGCATTACAAGATACATGATTTTTATAGCTAAAGGAAAAGTGTTCCATGAGTCAGTAGGTGCAAGAGCCCACTGACCCTTCACGACCATCTTTAAGATGGATGTTGTGTAAAACACACGGGTCAAATCAAATATGGATGGTGCCAAAAACATCCCCAGAAAAGCACATTTTGAAGTTCAAAATTGTTATTTTTTTCATATTTATTATTACCTCGGATTAGATGAATCCCTAAAATTTTGAATAAAAAATCCAACTTAAAGGTGAATTTTAGAGGGGGGGCCACATGTGTACATATGAGTCGGGTGACTCATAGAAACCCCATCCATAGCTAAATATTCATTATTCTTTCCAGATCATAATTACCAAGGCCATGATCAATTTGGTTTCTTTGATCCTATTTTCGTCAGGTTTTGATGTGTGATTTTACTCATTATCCTAAAGCCTAGGCTTTAGCTAAATTTTATCATTAAGTCACACATTGAGGTTTTTGCACCACTTTGAAACCTCATTTAGAAAACCCTATTTTGATGCTTTCTAAATCCAAGATTTAGATTCTACATCCTTTTTCTTTTATATTTTGCATAGTTGGCTAATCCAACTTGGAACCAATGCATGACCGGTTCAACCCACCAGACCAATTTTTAAAACACTGATTCATACCCATATGGTTTGAAAGAAGCACAATAATATAGAGGATTTACTTTAGTTTTTGAAATATTAGTTTTTGAGATATGCTTTCATAAATTACCTAAGATTTGAAATTTTGTTTTATAAGGAAAATTGATTATCAGTACCTTGTTTCAAGGCCTGGATGAGATTTATATTTTGGGAAAGTGTTGGATGAGAATTTCATACAAACTTTTAGCAAATAAATAACTTCTCCTCAGCCGCCACATTTCCAACATTGAAGTAGTTCACGTCAACCACTATATCACCAAAATACTCTGCAAAACCAGTCCATGTGCAATAACGTTAATTTACCAACTCGGTAAGCAATCACTAATGCCGTGCAAAAGTGAGCTTTTACGGAGAACATAACATTTTACCTTCATAAATAGTCCTTGCATCTTTGGCATAATCGGGAATAAGATCGCCGTAAATAATTCCACTTGGATGAGCATCAAGAACCACCAAAGTGCCTGAAATGCGAACAAGGAAAAAGCTAGCATCCAGCGAATAATATGGGGTGCAGAATTAGAACCAATACATGCGAACTAGTAATATTCATTACACAAAAACTGAAAAAAGTCTGAAATTTAGCACTTCAAGTGTATAATCGTATATATTACCAGGTGCTGACCATTTTGGAGGAGACCGAGTGATATTGCTCGGCATTGGTGCCAGCCAAAGAATGTTACGCATATTCATTGACTCGTCATATCTTACATAAGAACCTGCAATATAGTTTAAGAATGCATACCTACAGAGGGAAGGGGTGAAAAAGATGCAGAAAGCGGTGGAGGATTCAGAAGAGAAATAATTGCAGCAAGGGAATCAACACCTTGTAGATGGCGAGACTTGGATGGGGGAGAGATTGGATAAGGTGTAAGAAAGAGAAAGTTTTGTAACAAGAGAGCTTGGCTAGCATTTGGGGCTGATTTTGTGAAGAGAGATGCAGCAGGGGAGGAGTTGGACTTGAATCTCACCCTCTTTGTACAAAGGGTTGGGGGGGCTCCATAAAACGATGGAAAATTTCTTGTGATCCAAAAAAAATTCATTGCTCAATGTTTTTTGGCCTAAATGCGGTCGTTTTTAGATGGAGAAAATCAAAGATACAGAGACCCAAACTGCCTCTAGCTCTTATTAGTAGATATTTGGCTTGCAGTCAAAAAATATTTAAATTGGGTAAAACCTAACTAGTCCTTAAGTTTAGCAAAGTTCCGATTGAAGAAGTACAATAACCCTGAACCAAACCAACATGAAATTTAGAAGTTCAGAAGGGTACAAAGCAATAAAGGCTGAAAATTTGGCAAAACACATCAAGGTCCTCTATAATGGGCGCTTCAGACCAAATCAAGATTTGATGCTCTTTGAGATAGTAATATACCCTAAAGTTTAAAAAAAATTAATAATAATAAAAAATGAAGTGTTAACCTCCAAGCACATCGAAACATACCTTTTTGGCAGTAACCCATGTTATAAGGGAATACTTTCTTTTCATAGGCAGGGTATTCTTTTGCATGGAATCTACAAAGTTAGGACCAGGCAAATCTTAAAATGCCTAAACATTTTCCATTCTAGCCTGTTCATTTTAGAGAAATGCAATAGAAAATCCATGTATTCTCTTCAAAACCAGCAACTCAAAGTTCCAGTAAACTGCAAGGTCAGGGAGGAGGAAGAAGAAGAGAATGCATGAGGTTTTTACAGACTAAAAAGAGTGGTGATCAATAGGCATGGAGTCAGATGTCCACCTTAACTGCGTCAAATTCACTCAAATAATTAGCCTAATGTAAGCGCTTTATTACGTTATAGACAATGTTGTTAGCAGCTATGATGCACTAATACTCGTATGTGCTTAATGTGCCAGTGTTGAATATCTTGGGCTAAAAGCCCTTGAAGCTGCCCTTGGAGATGAATTACATCTTTGGTAAAATAGTAGAGATTGTATCATCCTCGCTTGTTTATCTCTAGGAAGAGAATCAAACAAATTGGTCTACTCTTTAGCAAGAGGAGTGGATAGATCCGACCTATTCATCTTCCCAAACAGATAAATGCAAACTCTTTTGAGTTGTCACCTCTTTTGTCGATACTCATACTTGTAGATCATTTTTCTTCAAAGAAAATGTATCCAGTATAATACAGTACAATATATAAAATATTGTGCATTATGATCTAGCCTATATATTGTATCAATGTGTTGGACACATGTATTTTGGTATTATATAAGCTATAACAAATATGTATAGGTGTTTTCAATAGGATACTTGTGTCTGTAGCTGCATCTGTAACTAGGCATCTTAGGTTCACAGTAGTACCTTGGCAAAATTGGAAGAGGAAAAAGAAAAAAATTACAGAGAGTTATCAATCAAGAACAATGACTAATCAAAGAAAGGGGAGATATATTGCTAGAATTATGATGCTATAAAACAGCAATTGATTATTAGCCTACTTGATTTCCAAATGTAATGCGATGACAAATGCTTGCATGTGCATTGTTTTCAAAACTCAAACGTGGGCATGCGTCATTCTCAATGAAGAGTACGAAATCATTCATTAAGAAGATTATGGAGATGAAAAGATTCATCATTACCATGTATTGAAAATGCTAGAGAACGAAAATGATATACTCACAATATTCCAAGCCTTCCTGTGTTGGTGGCTAGGAAAAGATGCCCATGGAATAAATCATAGCGATTTAAAGATACATTGAAACCCACAGAAGGACCACGTGCAACAATTGTATCAAATAAGAATGCAATGTACAAATTCAACTCCTGTGCATGATGTCCAATGATGGAAATTTAGTGATGTAATTTTGGAAAGAGAAAAATAAAATAAAAACCAGAAAAAAGATTAATATAATGATAGTCAAATAGAACATACATATGTCAATGACCTTATTAATAAAGCGCCTTCCATAATCAGTTCTTGTTAGCTCACAATGGTTCTTCTTGCATCCTTCAACATCTGGGACCTAGAACTAAAAGAACCAGTTCAGCTTGCAAGCATTTTTAGGAAGGAAACACTAACTGAATGCAGAAAAAAAAGATATAGCTTGCAAAATACACAAATCAACATCACAACTTTACAATCTTTTGATCTCCATGAATTTAATCCAAAAGACCAAGCAAGTCAAAACATAATACATAATTGATCGTAGTTGTGAATGTTGACATTAACAGCAGAATAGACCAGTAGGGACACTAGACACCATTTAATGGAAAATATTTCATAGGGCCACAACTTCATAAAGCTTCAACTCAGATCTCGCAAGAAAATGCAATTTTGGCACTGGAAAAGCTGTACATCGATCACCTCCACCTCAATGATAAAGGATATGACTTCAATCCTTAAAAACAGTCCAGATTGCTACATGTTTTCTGGACCATCTATTTCAAGTCTTCTGCTTTCTCAACCATCCACTTCAAGTCTTCACATCTCCGTCAAATCTGCTCCACTTTGGAGCTTCAAATTCCACACTCAAGGGCGGAAATAGATTTCTAGGCCATTACAAGGGTTTCCAGCCTTGGAATCACTTTTCCAGCGGGATTTTGAGGTCCTTCCTTGCCAATTTTCATAAAGATGCTGCCCTACAAAACCCACACCCTTTAAGAAAAGAACTTCCAAAGAAAGTTCTTAGTAGTAGTATGTAATTAGATTGTCCTAGTCCTTATAGTATTTGCACAATTACAAGTACCTGTACATGGCATTCTATGTATTGGGGTGGGAATGGGCCATCTCAGGTCCAACTTGGCATGTACTGGACATGGACCCAACCCAGACCCGAGTCGGGTCCAAGTCAATTAGACCCATACCCACCCACCGTGTCAGTTTGGCTCCGGGTCTACAAATATAAAATATATAATATACTTATAGATTTATATTATATACTTAATGGTTTTACTTGTATTTATACTACTACATACCGGGTTGGGTTGGGTCAAGTTGACCCCAACCTAGAGCCGACCTGACCCGACATGATTTAAGCTAGACCCGGACCTGGACCTGATCCGGTTTGGGTCGTGGTCAAGTGGACCCAGTCCTGACCCGTCGGATCCAATGTTTGGGTCAAAACCCAGACCCGGTCGGTTTTACCCATCAAGTCCACAGGTTGACCCGACCTATTTCCCACCCCTATCTATGTACATTCTTTTATTCTTAAGCATATGAGGTACACATTCATTAGCTTAATGAACTTGAATGTACACACACACCAATGTTACAAAGGCACTGATACAAATGAATGTACACACACACAAATTGGAGTAGCCTTAACTCAAGACCTCCGTGGAGATTAATATCCAAGTGGCTGGAAATTATGGACATTGTGCATGGTAAGAATGTTACATTTAGACACATTTATAGAGAGGGCAAGGCAATGATGTAGCGTATTCTTTGGCTAAAAGAGGTGTGCTCTTTACAATCTCTGATTGTTTCGGATGTTCTTATTGTTTGAGTTTATTGTAATTCTCTTGTGATCAATAAAGTTATGGAATATTGTCAAAAAAAAAAAGAAGATACAAATGAGTGTTAGAAACGACCACCAACTCCAAAAAATGACTTTTCCAAAGCCACACGTTCTGGTGGGCATGTTATTTTCGCTGACATTAAGGTGCTTTTATACTCAGATTTCAACAGTTTCTAATTTGCTGAATTATCTGAAACTCATAATTGATTGTCGCGTCTTTGGTGTGTTGAAATGTGCCAAAAAGCATGAACATGCGTTTCTATGTTACATAGACATGCACATCGATGTAGCGGGTGACGTTCAGTGACTGTGAATGAATGGAATACATGCATTCATGCTTGTATACATGTATTCATGCTTGTTGTGCATGCCCGCCTAAATGTGCAACTCGTTATAGCTAGAAAACTAAGTGAGATGAAGGAAAATTCAATAAAAGATCAAGTTAACCTTTCTCAAAAAAAAAAAAAAATCAATAAAAGATCAAAATAAAACCATAGACACCAACAATGATAGGAGAAGAAAAAGGGGAAAGACAAAAGATGGAAAAATCGAGCCAATTAACAAAGAAATGAAACATAGAGACAGAAATTGAGAGCGCTCACAGGGATCATGGTGGGATTCAAAGTCCTATGAATGGCACCCGGATCCCCACCCGACTCCACTGCGAGGCGAGCAAGCTCCATGACCGGCAACGGAGGCCACCACACCATCTCATCTGCATCTCTCCATCCCTTTATTTGCCCTAAATCTCTTCGTCCCTCCAATTTATCATAATCATGCTCCTTCTCTCTAGGGCACAAGGGAACCAGAAATTTCAGACAAGATCTCAGCTCCTTGGCTTCTTTTTTGCTCACTCTTGCTGCCTCCTCTTTGCTCCCGAGAATCGAAAGCAGGTCCCCTGCAATCTTGTAGGGACCGGAGTCGCCGTCGCTGAAAACGCGAAGAAGGCCATTTTTTGTTGGGTGTGGGAGAAAGGAGGTGGAGAGAGAAAGAGAATAGGAGAGAGAGAAGGAGACAGAAAGTCCAACAAGTGTAGCTAGCTTCAATGGACTGAGGCATCTCATCTTCCTTCTCTCGAGACACAGAGTACAGGGTCTTCAAGGTCCATGGATCCACTTCAAATTTACGGTCTTTCCCGGTTTTTATGCGGCCAAGCCCACTTATGAAGAAATGCTTAATAAATCTATTTTTGAGATGGATTTTAATACTTAATTTTTTTTTTAAAGACAAATAATCTTGGAGATAATAAATATGAATAAATAAATAAATTTTAAAACTAAAAAAATAATAGAATTTTTTTTTTAAAGACATCTAATTTTGGAGATAATAAATATAAATAAATAAATAAATTTTAAAACTAAGAAATAATAATTCTAATAAGAAAATATTTGGACTATGAGTTTTTATTGTTTTTAGATGGAACATCTACTTGCATTCATCTTTAAGACGGATGCTTTACCCTTTTTTGGACAGCACATGTAGAACGGTCTAGCACGCATGAAACAATTTTCCAAAAACTATCTCCTACGCTATTTGGAAAAACAAAGTTTTAGAGGCCTTTTCCCATGAATTACCCCGCAATTCATCTGAGAGGGGGTGACATGATACTAAGGTTTTCTTAATAAGTTTATCATAAATTATAGCCACCTAATTTTACATCCAATGGTCAAAATTAATGCGTACGAAAGATAAATGGTCTCATTATATACTTTCCCTTCGCATTATCGGTCGTGAGGAATATATGGAAGTAGGTGGGCGTAGGCAAGAATGGAAGTTCTAAAACATGACTTTAGCATTCTTTTGGTGTGATTCAAATGTTATGAAAACAATCATCTGAACCATTATTTAAATCAAATGTAACAAACATCAAAGAAAGCAGTACTTCTAATTCATAGTTCATGGTTTAGGGAATATGAAACTTTTGCATTTAGTTGTTAGTTTTTTTTGAAACCATTCATTACACTCATAAAGGCCTTGGAGGATTGGAGGAGATATGATCTTAATTATTATTTCGCCATCATAAAATAATCTATTCCGGAAAGCCAGAGTGAGGTATTGAAGTTTTCAAATTTGAAATATCTATAATTTATCTAGTAGTTTTGGACCTTTTAAAATAACTTATGTATATATTAATTTTGTACCTTTTAAAATAACTTTGTAGGCCAATTGCTTTGGAATATTTTAAAGAAGTCAACCCATTTTTTTCATTTTCAATTAATAAATGGGTTTGCTATGGTACTAATAAACTATGTACCATATAGACTATTATTTTTTTGCGTTTTTCAATGAAAACATACTATTATCTCTTAAAAACATTTTTGATTTTTGTCTAAAGTGAATTTGATAAATGAATAGGGAAAGTTTATATAGAGCCAAGGCTTTAAACAATCAAATTAGAACCTACCGCAAAAATCTCACTAGAAGAGGTTGTTTTGATGCTCAAATATCTTCAAATTGATCATCTCTACATCAAGAAGCATAGACATGAGAAAAAAATAGATTTCAAGTTTTAAAAATAGTGCATCTTGTAATGCATTTTTAGACAATCAATTTTTTAGATTTTCAAGTTTTCATAGATCTGCTTGATCTATACTATATTTTAAATTTTAAATTTTATAATTAAAAATTGAAATATATTTTAAAGCTATTACAAATGTTTCCAATATTGAAACTACGTTTCTTGACACTATTTGAAGCTAGGCTCTAATTTAATTGTTTAGAGCCTTTGCTCTGTACTAGACGCACCCTTTATTTATTCAATTAAAAACTAATTTTTAAATGTTGGAATAAATTCCATAGAAATGTTCTGAACGTGTCGTACGAGCTTAACTTGAGAATTGATCTAGTTCATCCATGCTTGCCAACCTCATTGCTATATACAATATTATTGACAAATTGTCACACATCTTAGTCATTTTTTTCTTTTGATAAACTACTTTTTGACATATTCCCAGAAATATAAGTCAAATAACTGTACTTTAATCCCCTCATTTCTTATTATTTTTAAAATTCTAGAATTATGTTGTCTAACTTATGTTTTATTATTTTTATTTGTTTTAATTCTACAATTTTGCTGTCTAATTTATGCTTTATTATATAGATAAGATGTTATTAGGAAGGAAGGGAAACAACTTTCTTTTATGCTATCGAACTTTTCATTAGTTTATTTTATTGTGACTCCCGAGTTTGGCTTTTTCTTTTTATTTTGAAAATTGTAGTTGTATTGTTTTAGTCCGCCATTGAGAGTCATGGTGAGCAGACCTTTATTTTGCTTATTTCCTTTATAGGCAATGGTTTCTTGATTGCCATGATTAGTTTTTTTTTTTTTAATCAAGCTATATCTTACAATGCTTTTGTTACTGGTGGAATATGGACTTGCTTGCTCTCTTCTATATCTTTAATCTTTTTTTTTTAATTGTGGATTCTAGTTGTTTTTCAGTGTAATATTAAATTCATGAAGTTATGTTTTTCTGACCGTTGGATTCTAGTTGTTTTTCAGTGTAATATTAAATTCATGATGTTATGTTTTTCTGACCGTTGGATTCTAGTTCTTTTTTCTTTCTCTGATTCTATCTTGAATTCAGGAGTTCGCTGCCTAATTGGATAAGGAATAATATATGTATGGATTTAAAGGAGGGTGATTGATTTAGAAGTGAAAATGAATTGGAGAGTGATGATTTGAAAGTGAAAATGAATTGGATAAAAACCCATATTATTTGGAAGTAAAGATTCGCTATGAAATATTTCAATCAATTGTAATATTGCATTGCTCATTTTAAAATCATTTGTTTTAGATTCGCTTCAAATAAGGATGGGTTTTAAGGAGTTGACAACTCACATGTACATTTGTGTGGCTGGTCTAAAATCCATTTTAATTTATAGAGATTTATGATCTAAGCCATGATTCTTGAATGTGAAAAAATAAAATAATTTTTTTTCAATTTTAAAAGTGTGTTTTTTAAGATTTTTTTTTTTGCAGTTTGGGTGCCCACTTTTCTCACGTCCATACTAAGATGGACGTTGGATGTGACTGGGATGCATGTCCCTGACTCATGAATAACTTTTCCTTTAAATAAAAAATCCATTATTAAAGTTATAAATTATTTAAAAGGGTTAGGGTTGACAATGGAAAAAAGCTAAAATGGTGATGTTTATTGATCTAAAATCTATCTGACATATCCCTATAACAATTTGTTGGATTGTAAGGTAAATAAAAGAAAATCAGAAACATTTTGGGATTATTTTAAAAATAGATCAATTTCTCTCTCTCATTTTTTATCAAAATCATTCAAATTTATCCCAAAAATGTACCTATCACATTGATTAACAAAATCCCTAATAAAAAATGTTTGAATCAAAACCAATATATCCTCCAATTTGACCAGAGCCAATGGGATACAAGGTTGTGCGTCATGCTACAATGCCTTGCAATTTTTATCCAAAAAGCAAAGCCTGAAATGACAAACCACAAACACACCAATTTACATCCACCTAATGGTCAATAACTCAATGAGGGTATGATCTTAATAGAATAAAATGGCCGATCAATATTCGTGAAGCCGACCTCAATTAATTAGAAAAAACTATTATAATGGTAAATTTCAGGAAGTAAGAACGATCTATTAAATACTTGAAAACTCATCAACCAATAAATGAATGTGCAAGAACCAAGAATGAATATTTACGCAAGACCATTATCACTGAACCAACAAATAGTAGCATATATAGCGCACACAATTACAATTTTGCTGAAGCACGAGCCTTACATTAGATTGTAGTTAGATGCATGGTCAACTTATTTATAAAGATGCGATTAACATCCCAGGATGAGCTCAATTACGAGGATAGTTCGCCAATTGTATTCATGACTACACACACGAGTGCAATTGGTCGGGTTGGGTTGAACCTAGGTTGGGCCCGAAAAATGATATGGGACTTGGATCCGAATTCACTGGAACCGACCTAGAAATTACAATATTTATGTGTTTAACTATATTTAAATATATTTCACATATTGGGACAAAAAAATATTACTAGACTCAGACCCGGACCCGATCTGCCAGGTCCCATTTTTGGACCCATAACCGGACCCGGATTGGGTCTACCCCTCGGGTCCTAGGTCGGGTCTGGGTCCATTGCCAACACTATAACACACACCATCTCTTGGTGCTACTAATCGTGTACCTTTTTGCAATGATAGCTAATATCAACCAAAACCAAAGAGGCAACCAGGCACAAAATCAACCAGTTAAAGAACATAAAGATAAAACCACAAACAACCAAAACCACAACACCTGTATGAAAATAAACAAGAATTTGGTTCTAGAAACATAACCGTCAGAAAAACAAGAAAACCAGCCGAAGATTCAAAAACCCCAAAATCGAGGACCCAAATGCAAACCCCAAATCCAAGAACCCATCAAGAACAAAGTGCCAAATCTCCCAAAAAACACATTATAAACTCTAAAAGGGTACCAAAACAACTTTTGCAATCTACTGCTAATTGAAGTAACCTATTTGGAAAAAAAAATCCATTCTGCCCACCACAATGGCTCTCTCCCCTCCCATTCTCCATATGTGCCAATCAATGCAATTTATTGCTATTTGGAGTAACCTATTTGAAAAAATAAATAAATTTTGAGTACATTTTAAACACCAATTTTTATTACTCATAATTAAACGAGCCCTGTTTTTTCAATGTTATGAGCTATTGATTCAATTGGCCTCCATGAGGTGGAACTTGGCAACAAAGGTTAAAAAGCTAGACAAAAATTTAGTTGAACTTTTAAGGAAATCTAAATAGTTGATGTTATAGTCAAATTGATCATTCACTCGACAAATTGTCATCTTCATAATACCATAATATACAACCATATCAAACCCATACTGTCACATTACCATGTGAAAGAAATATTAAATATCATTGATCACATGTTCAATTTTCAAAAACAGCCGATTTTCTATGTAGAAGTCCGGACAGATGATGCAGGCCCACTTGCTTGTGCGGATGTCTCAGGCATCATATTATGAATGGGCTCTTTACAAGTCCTCTTATTGTGGCCCAAAGCACCACAATGTTTACAATAGTAAGCCCTCGCGTCTTTCACTTTTGTCGGTTTGCGCTGCTTCTTTGGTCTATATGATTGCGCTTCGGACCCCAGGATCATTGCCCTCGCAGCTTCTATACCCCGCCATGCTTGCATGTATGATAATGGGACACCATGATCATTTTGAACAACATTTGCAATATCTTTGGGTGTGAGATCCATCTGGTCATTTAGGCGAGCTTTAATCTTTTTTGCCACCCATTGGCTTCGTGCTAATGGTTGATGAGCCGTACCCATTAGTCTTCCACAAGTGTGCTCATTTATCATTTCTCTCACCCTGAAAATTTTTGTAGATCCGACCTTGGAGCACCGGACACGCCAACTGCAACCTTCTCCAGCACAGAATGCAATAACCCGTTCTTGATCATTTCTCAAGTACTTCACGATGAAATTCTCATGTATGGCATAGTCAACTAAATAATCGCGTAGTTCCTTGACAGTATCGAAATCTTGTCCAACACATAGGCCTACTTGCATGCATTTTGATGTGTGTCGGCTGCCTGAGGGTTCCAGGTTGTCACCATCACGTTGGATCTGTAGCTCGTGCTCAGATTTTGACTCGTACTCTTGAACTTCATTATTGGTAACAGGGACAGTCACTGGTTCATTGGGACAGCTGTGAGAAGACGTGTAAAGCATTAAGTACATATCAAAGCACATGTGATTTTCATTATATGGGAAATGTAATAGTTTTGGGTATTACGTAAAAGTCCATATTTTTCAGAAAATTATGCCTAAATTGTAGTGGTTTAGTGCAAATTAACCCAAATGGAATAAAATAAATAATTAAAGGTCTTTTTCTGATAAACCTGCTCTTTGTTGATGGAGCAACACCAACTTCAGTCGGTTGATGCTCCGCAACAATTGGTTCCAATGGTTGGTTTGCGACACATAGGTAAACCTCGGAAGCGACCATTAGCATACATTTGACATCCCCATCATCGCTTAATTCAACTAAATCCGTGTTTGGAAGTTCCTTTTCTTGATACATGATGCTCAAATTGCTTGGGTCACAACATATTCTAGCCCCCAGATGAGCCTTTAGTTGCCCGAGTGAGTTATCCCCGCTATACATTGTGGCTTTTAAATTCCCACCCTTGTAATAAATCCGACCGTCATTCAAGTTATGCTCAAAGGAACCACCATAGCGAAAAAGCAATCTCACTGACATGATTCAAGCTTCTATGTTGATTGAAATTCGTAACTTTGAATTTGGAATGAGACAACCCCAATCAGTAACACCTACACCTAGAGGGGCCAAACAGATGAATGCACACTGGTGAGAGATACAGAGTGAGAACTAAAAGAATATACATTGCACAACTTTAGCAAATCATATCACAGTACAACAAATTAAAAAAAAAAAAAAACAGATACTTCATTAAGGTCCACAGAATGTAAATCAAAATTCAAGATAGACAAAATGTACAGGGGATGAGGCATATATAGCTAGCACACAATCTGCAAATAAAAATATATATATTGAAGAACGTGCTAAATGACGTATGCACAATGATTAATGCCAGGTGTTCATTGAGAACATAAATAAATATTCACTCAGAAAAAAAGAAAAAAACAATAGCCAAGTCTTGCTACTTTTAGTGCACAAAAAAAAAAACACAAACTAACAAAGCTTACTACTTTTAGTGCACAAAAAAAAAAAAAAAACAAACTAACAAAGCACACTGCAATTTCTTATTTTGAAGGGATCATAAC